TGAAGATCAAGGGAATCCCTTTCAATATGAGTGCAACCATCTTGCTATTAGGAAATCAATATTAGCATGCATGCTGAAGAACTCTGAAGCCAAGTGGCTCATTCTCACAGCTATATATTCTTTTAGGGCATTGTAGAAGAACCTACCTCAGCAGGTATAGGGAAAATTAAAACAGCAACGTCCTACAGGACTTCATGCTAGAGAATTGATGACTTGTCTAAAGCCATTTTGGGTGTCCGGCTAGGAGCATCTGGGAGAATGTGAGGGGTGTCAGAGCAGCCAATATATATTTTTGGTTAGGGAGAGTGTACTCTGTTGTCTTCACTGACAGTGAGGGCTGAGTGCAGCTTTCCCTCATATTTACAATGTGTTGCATTATGTCCTGATACCACACTTAGAGGGCAATGTGTAATGCCAGGATGCAGTGTGAGATGGCATAATGCTACACCAGCCCAAGTGATGTTACCTTACTGGAGAAAGCCAGTGTGAGCACTCCATGCAAGTTTTCATACAAGGTCCACAGCCAGAAAGTCTCCAGGCCAGATTCCTAGTATGGTGTATGGCAGAGGTCAGCAAGTTACAGCCTGCAGGCTAAATCTGGAGCCTCTGGATCCAGCCTTTGGAGCTGTGCCTTATTCGACAGCATTCAACAGCAGGGGGTCTTTAACTGTGCCATGACAGTCAGCCACTTGGGGCTCCAGCAGAGGGAGACTTTTGCCCGTGCTGTGCCAGAGTCTGAGGGCATGGATTCCAGAGGAGGGGGGCTTTCACCATACCATGCCACAGATGAGTGGCTGGAAAAAGTGTCAGCAGAGGTCATATTTTAATACCCATTCACCTCTGACCTGAACTGGGTCATTCTAGACCCTGACCCCCCTCTCCCTCCAACTGAAAAATGTTCCCAACCCCTGGTTAATGGAATAACTCTGATTTAGGAACATTTTCTTCCCCATCCCCACATCCCCTATTCTCCCTCAGCTAAATGCACATGCTCTGGTACTGCTCCATGGCTCATGAAAACATCTCTCAGGGAGCCACATCTGGGGCTACACGGAGGAGGAAGAGGAATGCAACAAATGCATGGCTTAGATGTGCCAGATCCTTCCTGGTAAGCTGAACCATGCAGTACAGATCACTGAATCATTCATGGCACAATGATTTCCACTCACTATTCTTGTACTCAGAAACTTTTGGTGGGCAGTGATCCCATAGAGTGCCCCAGAAATACTGTATTGTTCCATGAGGAAGAAAAGAAGAGAGGGCGATGGCAGAGTGGGATATGCAGAATTTTGTTGGGCTTTGGTATGAAAGCCCGTGCTTGTTTGGAAGCATATGCAATAAGTATCACATGGGCTCTGCTTGAGCATAAACAGCACCTGCTGCTAATGTACCTGTTTGGTGCACTTGATTACTTGTAACAAAATAACACTGAATTTAAATCCTAAATTCATAATCTATATTTGATCACATCATTTTTTTCCTGGGTTATAATCTACCCCAGATAAACCACAGACATCCTTCTGCCCCAAAGCTTCTCACCCACAGTCAGAACTTAAGTACATGAAGCCACCAGAAAAGGTCACTTATAGGAGAAAGAAGCAACTAGGCGGATTTATGGTCTAATCTGATATAACAGAAGGCAAGATACCAGACTCCTGTAGATGGACCAAAAGTTTGATCCGTTGTTGCCAGTCCTACTTTTCTGGTTGTCTCCAGAGCAGAAATTTTTGTGGTTTATGGCACAGTTAATGTTTGAAAAACGCTTTGAATGTTAACAGCGCTACACAGTATAAATGCTAAGTTTAATTATCATGGCAAACCATCATTTGCCAGTCACTGGAATTAGGGAGAGAACAAATCAGTTCAGAGAAAAGAGCCATACCAAAGCTTGCCCAAAACACAAAACCTGAACCATTTACAGAGGTTTGAAAAAAAAGTCCCATTAACTTCTTTTTGGTTTGTTTTCAGTTTTATTTCCCCACAGTGCCAACCTCTGAGCGTCTTGGTTCCAGGTGAGGGGAAAGGATTGAAAAAACCACCAGAGATCAGCTGCCATTGCCAGCTGCTAAAAAAAACAAAAACAAAAACCCCTTGGGAAATACCAGAAATCTCAGAAGCTCTCCCAGTCCCAAGATTTCTAAACCAAAGAAGTGTCGGAGAAGTCTCTGTAGTGTCGGGTGATGATCCAAAATGTACAGCCAAATTGATGGTTCACCCCATCACTATCAAGACAGCAGAATGCCTTGAGGCCCAAATTCCACAGAGATGCTGGTATAGAGAGTTTATCATCAAAAAGGGAGATAGGGTGCTTCCATCATAACATAAGAACCCTGCTGGCAAGGTTCAAGATGACGTGCCGGCGTCTTCCATTCATGAAGATAAAGGAGATGAGGGCTGTTTTGGGGTACTGAGGAATACAACACACACGATTTTCTTGTTTTTTCCCATTCGTACGGCCTCGACCCGCGTAAACCGCTCCAAACACTCAGCCTGAAAGTTGTAGAAAACAAACTAAACAAAAACAACCATTCCCCTCCCTCCCACCCCACGACCTGAAGAGTCACGAGAAGAAAAACACCAATTTATACAAAACGCAATAGAAACGAAATATTTACAAATGAAATGAATGTCTTCTCGGTGGCCATTGTCAGTCAATTCTGACAAGTTGCCATGTGTTCTGGATTGCAGATCGCTTGGTTAGTTTGTTTGGTTTTTCT